TTTGCTTAGTAGATCACTTGTGTCTTGGTCCTCCAAGAAACAAAATAGTGTGGCCCCATGTGGAGCAGTGGGACGCCCCATGTGGGCCATGCCATCTCCATCACGAACGACGAACACGGATCCCATTCGGACATATCTGATAAAAGCTCCCCAAAACCCATCACTCGAGTCGTCCAGGTAACTTTACCAAACCGTCATACTTTATTTTCTGATGCATGATCATTCATTCATCTATTCTCATACAACACATTCAAACACGTATTCATACCATCATTCATTCATCACATACATCCAAAGCATTGCATATGCAAATTAATGCATCACAAACGCTTCGTGTTGCGTCACGAGGTGGTAGTTGCCTCATTCAACATGAGCAACTCCTTGGCTGAGGTCCGTGCGTGGAGACGATCACGACGGACGAGGCCCTCCATACGCTGGAAGGTGATGTCAGAACAGCACCACGGATCCATTGGAGGTGGGGACGGTTGGATGCGGGCTCGACGGCGGCGGGGATGCAGAGACGGGGAACCCTAGGTGATTGGTGGCGGCGGTCGTGGCTGCGGAGGCAAGGATGCAAGGTATGGAACCCTGGGGGTGAACCCTTTGGTTTTATAGGGGTGACGGATGCGAGGAAACCAACCGTCCACCTAGATCTCCGCGCCTGCCACGATCTGCCACAACGTTCCGACACAAGACATGCGCACGAAATCTCTATCCGTTCCCTCAGAAAACTCGCCAGACATTTTGCCTCTCCGGACAGGCCACGACTCGTCACGAGTAAAAGGAATACGGATCTAAAAGTACCTCTACGGGCCGACTGGGCCTAGGAGTTCGTAGATCGGCCCATTGACGGGTTCGACAAACCGCTCTAGATACCTTTAGGGTGAGAGGTGGAAAGGTATAGGCCCGCTAATGGTCGGTACCTAGGTGCACAAGCGCTGCAGGCATCCCGGCCCACGTTCCCTCGAAAAAAGAAAGGCGGGAAGGCCGTCGGGACGATCGAACGGACCCGAGAACTATATGGATTGACCCCAAAAGTGCGAAGTTGGTCACTAGTTGACCCAAGCCGGATCCCCCATAAGCAGGATGTCGGGGCCCCACTTGGACTAGCCACTAACAACTCACCGAGCACCGTGGCTCATCCATAGAGGAAAATCATGACATGGCTCACCCCACCGGTTATGAAACCATGGGCCGGGTGGTGGTCACAAAGGCGAGCCGACCCTCGACCGGACCCTAGCTACGCATAGGGGCTCGAGGAAAGTTGGGCTCATAAGGAGATCGAACACACGGTCGCAGAACGATAGACCCCCGAAGGGGTTAAAATCAGAGAAGGACCTTTTCTAACCCACCAAACCTCACGGCTATACCCCCGAGGGGTCCGATCTCGACGAAAGGGAATCACCGTCCCTAGGTCACACTGTGGGTGACAAAAGAAGGCCAAGGCCTTCAGAGTCCTACCGTTCAGAAAAGCCTTCGAAGGAGTATTCTACTCCTTCATAGGCTCGGGGCTACTGTCGGGGACCAATACTAGGGTACCCGAAGAGAAGCTAATAACCATCAACATTGATTCATCCGAGCAGTCAAAAGCGCGACTACAACTCCAACCGACCCCTAGGTGCGCAAACTCTGCCTCGCCCGACCTCTGAGGGTTGGCTCCGCCTCGCCCGATATCAAGGCCGTGGGCTCCGCCTCACCCGACCCTTGAGGGTTGGCTCCGCCTCGCCCGACACCGAGGTCGTGGGCTCTGCCTCGCCCGACCCCTGAGGGTGGCTTTGCCTCGTCCGACACCGAGGCCGCGGGCTTCGCCTTGCCCGACCTCTAAGGGCTGGCTCTGCCTCGCCCAACCCCTGAGGGTGGCTCCGCCTTGCCCGACCCTTGGGTCTGCGCTCTGCCTCGCTCGGCCTCTAGGGGAGGACTCCATCTCGCTCGACCCCGAGGCCACGGGCTCTACCTCGCTCGACCCTTGGGTCTATAGTTCGCCTCGCCTGGCCTCTGGGGGAGGACTCCTTCTCGCCCGACGGAGACCCATACCGCCGCAAACCACTCCAGGTCCTAGCAAATGGGCCTGGGTCAAAGCTCTAACACCAGGGAGGTGACCGGCACGCCCCGATCTAACCCGTGGCTGTGACGGGCCATACCTGAGGATTCACATCAGAAACAACATCGAGCGTACCGGTGTTGTTCTGCCTAACCCTCGTACGGGCACCGACAGGCGCGTCAGTTCACCACGATGTCCGCCAGGACAAAGTGGAACGCCACGACCGGGAGACGACGCCTGCGCATGGCACCAGTGACGGACAGGGCCACGACGTGGAGCTGTCCCTGTTGACGTCTACAGGGTCGGCGGGACCTGCGTGAAGGAAAAGAAGGACCCGGCGATCCTGGAAGACTTCTCCTTCTCATTCTCCTCTTTTCCCTCGACTGTAACCGTGCTTTCCCTTGGCCTATAAAAGGGAAAGCAGGGCGTCCCATGAAGGGGACGGGAAACAACGCCACTCGACTCGAATCGATCGCATCGCAACACACCACACCGATTCGGACTCGAACGCCGAACCGATTAGAACACACAAGCACACAGCCGAGAAGCGACCGAGCCCTCGACGCCCGTTCGCTCCCCTCACCAGAGACTTGGGACTTGTCCCTCTCTCGACCGTTTGTAACCCCTACTACGAACTTTCAGTGCTAGTAACACGAGCAGTAGCAACGAACTGGACGTAGGGATATTCTGTCCGAACCAGTATAAACCTCGTGTCCTCTTAGCACACCATCCGGGCCAGACGCGCAATATTAGAAATTTACTTGTTGGTGGCAACTCGAAACACCGACACCTTGCTTCAATTTCTTTAATGCTGGTATAGGTTGGTGGGAGAACCAAATGGCCCAAGAAGAGAGGGAGGGTTTGGACTGTGCTTTAAAAAAGTAATGCATAAATTAAAACCTAAATCTATCATACTTCCATCTTAATCTCACTCTAAGCCTAAACAAGCCTTAATCTCGCACTAAACACTATGTAAGCAAATATGTGATCAATTAGCACAAAGTGGTGGCATGGAATGCTCTCAAGTGTAGCAGCAAATTTTCTCCTCTTCAATGTACTCCAGCCCACTCCTAACACCCAAGCAGGGATGGAGTTTAAATAGGCCCACCAATCTCAACTAGTCATTGTACTTCTACCAAAAAAAATGCTAGATCATCCGGTGCATACAAACTTTTCCCACCAGTGGTGGATCTAGCAAATAGGTTAGGGGGAGCTTCTTCCATTATCTTTCATCTCTAGCCCCTCTTTTTAAGCTTCCATGGATACTAAATTATAGGGGGGCTTAGGAGGGGCTCGATTATGCTTCCGGTGGTTTGAGCCCACCCTGCCCTGGTGCTAGATCCACACTTGTTTCCCACTAGCTTTTGCAACAGATCTACTTAGGGCAGTCCCAGTGGGGGTTTTAGGAAACTTTCATGGGACGAAATAAGCTGACACGTCATAGTATAGATGAGTAGAGATGATAAAAGAATGAAAAGAGTTTCATAGAAATAAAACTTGTCTACAGGGCGATTGCTACAAGGTTGCGCCATCTAAGAGACTTAGCGCCCACACTCACCAGCCTCATCGACTGTCATTTCGTTTGCACGGCAACGGTCACTTCTGCCATCCCCAACTGGTATTGGATTAGACAGATCACCGGCGGCCTTACCGCACCGGTGATCCAGGAGTACACATGGACATCTGGGATCATGTGCGGGAAGTCCAGCTGAACGACGCCGATGACACCATGGTTTTTGAAGGTGGTCTGCGAACGGAACATACTCCACACGATCGGCTTACAGAGCGCTTCACTCGGCTTCGCACCGCCCCATCCCTGGCTGAAAAGCGGATTTGGGGCACCTGGGCTCCACTACGGGTCCAGATCTTCCTCTGGCTCGCGGTGCGTTGAAGGCATTGGACTGCGGACAGGCGACTCCATCATGGCCTCGACGCGCTTGACCACTGCTTCCTATGCGACAAGGAACTGGAGACCATTGACCATATCATAGCATCGTGTTTCTTCTCTAGACAAGTTTGGTGGCGCATCCTGGCGGCCCTAGGCGCAGACACTTCCTAGGTTGGCAAGGAGACCCTCTTGTCGTGGTGGAACTCATGGCGGACGCACTGTACAGGAGACAAATGGCGGGGGGAGGACTCATTGTTCGCGCTCGTTGCGTGGGAGCTATGGAAGGAGAGAAACGGGAGATGCTTCTGCGACAACTCATCCATGGTCCTGCAAGTCCTTGCGCGCTGATCAGGCACATCGTAGACCAATGGATCGACGTCGGGGCGGCTAAGCTAGGTTGTCTTTTGCGCGAGTAGTCGCCATGTACTCCATTTTGCTAGGCGGGGATGAGCTTATTATAACACCCTAAGGCCCCCAGCGCGCCTGATCAGTGGCGCGTCGTTGTAAAAACTCACTTTTCTCTATCTTAATACAATGATGCGTAAATCTTTTGCATAATCGAGAAAAAATATATGAGAGTTTTGGAAACTGGAACGTGAAAGACATGCCTTAACATTATTAAATATTTTGGGTGAATACTCCGGTGACATGACCAGATTGTCCGGGGCTTGATCTTTTTCTACCGCTTGCCAAACTCGACCTGTTGAAAAACAATATGCGATATTCCTATGCTCACAAAGTCACAGTGCAAATTAGTATGATATATTCATGAGAGATAGTATATGCTGATATACAAGATTTTGTAACGATTTACGCACAGATTTAATATTTATATTTATGTCTGCAAATATAGAGCTTACATGGTTACACTTACACTCATCGTCTGCTTTGCGGGCCAATTAATCTTCGTTGCATTGCGTGGCCATATATATATAGTATATACCTACACAAACTTTTTATTCTGAAATACGATACAGGACAAATAAACAAACATTCCAGTTGGCACAAGTTAACTGACGTGGCTGAAACATTCCCTGATATGGTCCATAGAATTTTCTCCAAGGCAGGTTGTCAAGCACGGCCAAGCACAAAGTTCCAGCCGATCCCTCGGTTAAGGAGCAGGAACCTGACATGGGTGATGAACTCGCCGCCTGTGCAGAGGTTCTTGGCGTGGAAGCCGGCCTCACATCTCGTGGCGAGGTGGAAGAGCATCTCGATCCAGACCGACGCGATCAGCTCCCACACACGATCACAGCCTGTTCCGGGGTCGTCCTGGCCGGAGAGCAGCATGCGAGCAAGCCTCAACGCGCGCGGCAGCACGGGCCTGATGGTCTCGTACTGGTTGCGCGCGAACTGCCCGTACGCCCCCTCCGCCCTCTCGGCGGGGTCCCTGATCTTGCGCACGACGGCCTCCAGCACCTCCCTGACGGCCTCGGCGTCGTCGGCGTCGACCTGCTTCGTCTTGCCGTGCTCCGCGAGGATCTGCTTCACCTCCTCGCGGGCCTTGCGGTGCGCCACGTGGCCCTCGCTGCTGATCAACACGCGCCGCTCCAGGACTAGGTCCATGAGGTAGTTGGAGACCTCCATGGCCAGAAGCATGTGATCATCCCGGCTGTCGCCGCCGCCGCCGTCCTTGTTGCTGGCGGCGAGAAGAGAGCACATGTGGGTGATGAGGTGCCACATGACGACGCTGGTGGAGAAGTCCACCTTGTCGATGCTCTCGTACAGGTCCGAGTCCTTGGCGAGGCCCCTCAACGACAGGATGCCCTGGCCTCGGACATGGCTGAACTGCTGTATCCTAGTCCAGTCGTTTAGCTCGTTGCAGATGAGCTCCTTGGTCCTGTCGGAGATGGGGCGCAGCTTGGTGTCCCCCAGCAGGCCGACGTGACGCATCATCCTCGAGAGACAGCCGGCTTGCTTCTCCCTGATGCAGCCGGCCAGCAAGTTGTACTGCGCCCACTTGTTGGACCACAGCGGCTTGTGGTAGGGCCGCACGGATTTCAGCGACCAGAAGACGGCCCTGGTGAGCCTGCTGCCTGCTCCCAGTTTCTCCCGCAGGAAGCAATAGGACCGGAAGGACAGCACGAAGGTGAGGATGGAGAGCACCTCCAACGCCACGGCACCGGCGAGCAGGATGTAGGAGACGGCCACGTCGGCGGCGCTGTAGTACGACACGCCGCCCTTGCTCCTCGTCGTCGTCGTAGCAAATAGCGCCAGAGCCGACGAGGTGGTGGCGAGCGTCAGGAGCGGGAGGCCAAGGGTGGTGAAGACGACCGCCGGCGGCCTGCGCTGGGCGTGCGCGTACCTCAGGCCGACCTTGGTGTAGAGATGGTCGTACATTAGTGAGAGCTGGATCTCGCCCATCTTGTACGCCCTGGACGGGAACCACTCCTTCTCCCCGGATTCCATCATCTCCTCTATAATAGGCCATATCTGCGGTAGCAACCATGGCGCCACAGGGATGTCCATCAACGCGTTTATGCAGTTGGGGAAGCTGTCGCCGGCTGCCTCCACGAGGTCGGCGTACTCCTCCTGCAGCCACCATTTCCTGCGGCCCACGATGTCCTTGTTGTACCTGTCGATCGACGCCTGCGATCTGTCTCCGGCTTGGTACCTCGACATGGTCTTGCAGAGATCACCCATGCGGCTTCCCTTGATCGTCTCCGAGGTGGCCGTCTTGAGCGCCCAAGTCCTCTCCGCGTACTTGATGGTCCCCGAGACAAACATGAGCACGACGGGAGCAAGGAGCTCTTCGTTGCCGCGCCGCCACGACGGCGACTTGGCCACGACGTAGACGGCGAGCACCACCTGCGTCACGAGGCCCAGCAAGTGGCGCTTCCACAGCTCGTTGTCCTCCATGGAGAAGGCCGTGATGGTCTCCTGCCCGCCCAGGTGGAGCAGCAGGACCGGTGCCCACAGGAGCACCAGCTCGTGCCGTGGCTCGCCTATCTTGAGGGTCAGGTGGCCGAGGACGTACACTGCGACGTAGTCCGCCGACAGGTACGCGAGCCAGAGCAGGACGCGGAGCACGGTCGACGGGTTGCGCCGCCGGATGCTCGCGGCGAAGAGGAAGAAGGCCTGCAAGGCAAAGCTGGCCACGACCAAGCATTGGAGCTCCCATTCGTCCCAAAGTTGCTGCGCGTTGGACAAGCTGCACGTGCACATGGGGATCAATAAGCTACTTACCAAAATTATATATTGTAACTTGGAATTAGCTACTTACTAAAGTTAGTTATATATTTGGGCTAAAATATTATTATACAAAAATCTTAATTACTTCCCTCAAGTTCTGCCTATGTGCAAACAACCCCTAAACTAATTTTTGGTTCCATTTAGTCTCCCAGTTGGTCCAACTTATCCAAACAAGATTTGTTTTGTTTTCGTTTCTCCGCGCACAAGTTGAGTTTAATTTTAAATTTTGTGAGGTCACAAAGCACATCATAATTCATTTTCTTAAAAAATAATACCATAGTTATTATTATTATTATTGTTGTTGGTGTTATTGTTATTGTTATTATTATTTAATGATATATTAACCCTAGACATACAAGATTGTAGGAAATATAATTATGAAAAATCATAATGTGTTTCTTCAAAAAATATGATGTTTGTTGTCACCTCATAAAATTTTATATTAACCCTAGACATACAAAATTGTAGAAAATATAATTATGAAAAATCATAATGTGTTTCTTAAAAAATATGTTTTTTTGTCACCTCATAAAATTTTATATTAACCCTAGACATACAAAATTGTAGGAAATATAATTATGAAAATCATAATGTGTTTCTTAAAAAATATGATGTTTTTTGTCACCTCATAAAATTTTATATTAACCCTAGACATACAAAATTGTAGGAAATATAATTATGAAAAATCATAATGTATTAAAAAATATATGATGTTTGCTGTCACCTCATAAAATTTAAAATTAACTCAACATGTATGTGAGCAAAGTAAAAAACAAAATCTTGAACTTAAATAGTTGCAGGAGTAGTTGAACCAAATGTGTTTGCACCAAAATTTGACAAAGCCCTTGAAAGGAAGGAATCGGCCGATGTGCTCACCAGCCAAGAAATATTCTTTAATTTGGGAGAAGAGGTATGAAGTCCAAGTGCTCCACATGTGAAGATATATATGGAAAAGCAACAGAAGCAAGAAGATCAAGGAAAGTGCGCACGTCATGACTTGAGACAATTATTATAATATATCCTCATGCACGGTGATTATTATGTTCGACCACGTTTCAATCCAAGCTCAGCATCACAAGGTTGCCTTGGATAATTAATTCAGATTAAATAATCAGAGTCCAGGTGCTGCCGGCGTAAATGAAAAAGAATAGAAAGGGAGGAGGATTAAAGGAAGAAAAGCAGAGTCGATTAATCTGGCATCAAATGCATGCGTGCAATCTCTGATGGCCTCAGACTCTTATTGGTTGCCATAAACGGATAAGCGTGAGGTGTATGTGCATGAAAATATCACCAGATGAATGCATACGGGAAGGAAAAGAAATATTATTTATTTAGGAAGAGCATGACGCCCAGGCATATATCGCGGAGAGGGCAGAGCAAAGGAGCACGGAGAGGTGTCAGACATGGACTCTGTTGTTTGGCAAGATTGCACGGCAAGCCCGAGATTACCACGTGATGCATGCATTGTTCCAGTGGAGATCGGCAGGCATATTGTACAAATACGCGTACACAGTAGATGCAAGGATATGACAAGAAAAGACGTCGGTCAAGAAGGCTTCATTAGCGAGGACTTTAAATAAGGGAATTAGAGTCCATGCATTTTTTTTTGTACTTCCTATCGTTTTCTTAGGCAAGTCACGTACGGAATATGTACCTCTGGCTATTGTAAAAGAGATTCACACGTCACTTAAAATCAGTCTTTATTTTTTCGGCTTTACGTCAACTCTTATGAGTAGGAGTAATATAGCTTTTCAGCGAGTTCTTCAGTAAACAGGGCTGCATCGACCGATTGACCTTTAGCTTGCTTGTGAGTACTGTCACGACTTGTATTGTGCTTGTAAAGCTGCATCAGCTGATTGATCTTTTATGAGCCATAATATAAATTAGTTATCGATCTGTATCGTAGTTTGTAAGGCTGCATCAGCTGATTGATCTCTTACGAATCATAATATAGATCAAAGTTATCGATCTTGTGTTAAATAACTTATTGTTTAATACAATATCACCAGTTATCGAATCTGTTAAGATTAGTAAGATTTTTCTTGCTGTTTTTGGTTGATTCACCGGTTATCGATCTTGTTATAATTAATGTTTTATTAATTATAACAAATCACCTGATTGAGATAGAGATAGATCGGTATCATATTATCTTAATTGGTCGTTCTTTGATCTGGTCACACTTTAAATCTCATAATTGATGACTTAATTTCGCTAGATCGGCTATTTTATCTCTATTCCAATTAAACATAGTATGCATTCAAAGACATGTTTCAATCTTGAATAAACTCACTAGTCAATGAGATATAATCTAAGGATATTACCATAGCTGCATCGGTCCGATCGAACCTCACCGGTAAGACTTTAGATTAGAAATTATTGATTAGTGGTTTTGTTCATGATCGAGATATGTACTCTGTTTGTTTGCTATGCCTGCACTGGCTATTTTAGCCGATTTGCTTATACTCTCACGCATATAGCATGTTTTTATGAATCTGTCAACGTATAGATGGTTTTATAGATTCTTTGACTTTAGTTTATTATCATTATCATAGCTGCATCGATCCAATCAAACATCGCTGTTGATAATAATAGATTAGACTCAAAATTATTTGTAGAATCATTTATATTAGATAGTCGATTTGTTTGCATGTTATACTCTTTTCATTAAATTTATTGGCTCGATGTTTTATATCAATCATGTTCTATTTAGCTGATGATGTTTTCTGATGTTCCATGAGCATCGGTTATTTTGATTCGTATCATTATCATTTAATATTAGCCGATAATCCTTGATTTACCGATCTTCGTTTTATGGATACGCTGGATATCGACTATTTAGTCGATAGCCTCATTGAATCGGCTATCTAGCCATATATTTGGAACTGTTTGGTGCAACACCGACATATTTCACCTTAAATTGCTGATAAACTTTTCTCTCCTTGTCAATTGCAGGTCAAATTGACTGGCACGTCGTTGGGTTTTCAGAATCAACTGGTTCTGTGTTAAAACCAAGCAGATCTCAGATCTTCCGGCTTGCTGTGTGTTGATCACATCGCTATATTTTTGTGTCAACAGTTAGTTTACTCTGGTGTCCTAAAATGATAGTTTTGAATACAAGGTACAATAGGCACTAGGGGTGAAGATAAGGCAAATTGGACAAGTGTGCATGTCTTGTGGAGTGCATGAATTTGTGCTACAGAGATGTATACATGGTGAACATTTGGTCATAATCACCGCTTTTGCATTTTGGTGTGGTGCGCCTGTACCCCTAAACAGCTAAACTCTATATAGATTAACATCCGCCCTGATAAGCACTTGAATTTCCAACTGTATATATATTGTGGACACACATGGAAAATTAAACATTCAATATGGATGGAAAGACATAAAGAGCAAGTAATTGGTAGACGAGGTCTATAACACCTATATATATAGAAGTATTATAGAATATCTGCATTGTATTAGAAAATGAAAAAAAAGTAAACATAAACAATTTTGGTTATATATGGGTTTCTACTAACTTCTGATACTTTCTTTTAAGATCCAATCCGATTCAAGAGCATGTATTTATAGACTAGTCCTTTGCTTTCACATATATATATATATATATATATATATATATATATATATATATATATATATATATATATATATATATATATATATATATATATATATATATATATATATATATATCTCTCCGTCCTAAAATATAGTGTATTCTGGTCATTCTTAAACAAAATAAGAGAGAGTGCAATAGACGTATATACCCCTCGCTTAACCTCCTGTTAAAATCTGATTCTATTCTGCATGATTAAATGTTGAACTCTTAGTCACCTTATACAAAATATGGCAAGTACATAAATTATTTTCCTTATACAAAATAATCATGTATTTTTATTTAAGTAAACATTATCTTCTTGTTCCCTGAATGTACTATATTTCAGGATAAATTTCAAATGTCAGAATGCACTATATTTCAGGACGGAGGGAGTATGAGATAATTATAATATTATTTTTTCTATCTCTAGGTTAAAGACGACTTAAACCACTTCATGAAAGTCAGGGAGAAAGTTATTGTTACTGGTGCTTGATGCCTTGATGAAGATATAAAATTAATGTGGTATTTGCTATATATACTAGCTTACCTTAGCAGTTGTTTTGTCTTCTGGTCTCCACTTATGCGTTTACTGATTATCATTGCGACAGTACTGGGACATGAAGTCATGAACCGACTTCGCTAACAATCAGTTTTAGCTCATTGCCAACTGCGCCCTGGTAAAAGAAAAACACTGTCAGGTCTCTGTATACTTTCTAATTGCTAGGAATAGAGACTTTAGTGAAAAAAATATCCTCCAACAGCTTCTTTAATTTTTTTTATCCAAACATAGTCATCTTCTATTCTGGATTTCTTCTAGCCAAAGATAGAAAACGAGAATGACTCTTTAGAGTGCACACAAGATAGAATAAAAATGTTGAAGTGTGGAAAAAATAGAAAATGGTTTTATGTAAATAGCACTCCAAATGATAATTCAGAGAGTGGCATTTAGAAAGACTCTTGGAGATGTTGTTAGAGCATCCCCAACATGTACCCTAAACGAATTCTATTATGCTTTTTAGTGGTAGAGTAAAACAACTTAATCCAACAGACCCTAACATGGGTCCCTATTTTATGGAGGCCCTCAAATCTCCTCTCTTAGCTCCGTCTCCTAGAGGTGTGTAGTGAGCTCCTTACTTCTTCCTAGGAATTTTATTCCCCGCACAACTCACTGCCGTGCACCTTTTTCTTCATCCTGACTCTTCCCTCGACGGGTCCCTATCTCCTTCACGGTGTGGCTCCCAGCGAAGCCCTAGGCCCAGCGTGGCTCCCCTCCTGTAAACCGTCCCATCCCTGGCGCGTTCACTCGACCCTGATGTGGCATTTCATGTGCTCCTCGACCTCGCACTCTCATAGCTTAGCCGATTGTTGGAAC